GAAGGACTCCTAATCTTGTCATGGCGGGATCGATCGGGACAAACCTCTCTCTACCGTGTGAGGTTACAGTCTGGCCGGCCCGAGCAGGCGGACCGAGGGAGTAAGCGGACGTCACTGGAGCCAGCCGCGGCCGCGTCCTCACAGCACTTGACGTCTGCGCCCAAACGTTTCTTCGCTCAATTATTCATACAGGTAACACAATCTGTCCGCCATCTTTAATCGCAAAGGATCGTCCTTGAAATGTAGAGGGCACCTGGTTATTTTTTACCTTTGGTTAGATTCAGGAAACCATACAGAAATAAAAAAGATTAAGTAAATATCGGCAGCATAGTCAGCGAGATAGAGATTGTAACGATGCCGCACCCACTGGGTGACTCCTTGGCTACACGTGTAAGTCAGGGATCGTGTATATAAACCCAGGTTACACGTCTCTTTCGATGGGAAGGTTATTCATTGTTAGCAGTTAAGTTATACCGAACATATGAATGGAAATTTTCTTTTTAATCATATAATATGATATGACAAGTAACGTAGACATGTAATGCGTTTATTTACAATTACTTTAAAGGACATGTTTTGCGTCCATATGCTATCTCTGAATGCTTTAAATGATTAATAAATATTCACTGTGTATTTCCGAACATATCATACCAAAATAGGCTGTATATTCCTTTAATCGAAAAGACAAAAAACGATGTTCTCAAAGTAAATAACAATGCCGGTCACAGGTAGCTTTGGAGGGAGTGTGCTTTAGGTCTCTTTGTAGGCTCCATCTGAATGTGCTTTTGTAAACGCCCACTGCTCTCTTAGCCGACTAAGTGCGATACCAAATAATTGCAAAGAAAATCTCTCTCTCTCTCTCTCTCTCTCTCTCTCTCTCTCTCTCTCTCTCTCTCTCTCTCTCTCTCTCTCTCTCTCTCTCTCTCTCTCTCTCTCTCTCTCTCTTTCTCTCTCTCTCTCTCTCTCACTCACTCACTCTTTTCTATTATATTTCTCTATCTGTGTTTTCTCTATTTCTTTGTAATGTGTTTTTTCCTTAGGAAAATGATCGTATATGATTACTATACTGGTGCATTATCGTAAGGTCGCAAGATTTCAATGCTTTGCAATCGCTTTCTTGCTGCATCTCTGCACAATCTGCAGCACATTCGTCTAACCAGATAACCCATCCTGTCATATAAACAATGCACTTCATGTCGTAGTTTTTATTTGTGACACAAATATTTTTAAAATCACCTTTGCTGTCTCTAGTTTAGGCTCCCTTGACAATCTGCCTTAATATTCCCTGTGGGAAGAGAGAGAGAGAGAGGCAGACAGACAGACACAGAAACAGAAACAGAGAGAGAAAGAGAACGACAGGTAAACAGACAGAAACAGAGACCGAGACAAATACAGAGAGAGAGAGAGAGAGAGAGAGAGAGAGAGAGAGAGAGAGAGAGAGAGAGAGAGAGAGAGAGAGAGAGAGAGAGAGAGAGAGAGAAGCAAACAAACAGAGATAGAGAGAAATAGATATAGATAGATAGATAGACAGATAGAGAGAGAGAGAGAGAGGAAGAAGGAGAAAGAGATAGACAGAGACAAAGAGCAATACAGCTCCTCTACTTCTTACGCGAAAAGAGAGAGAGAGAGAGTAAGAGAGAGAGAGAGAGAGAGAGAGAGAGAGAGAGAGAGAGAGAGAGAGAGAGAGAGAGAGAGAGAGAGAGAGAGAGAGAGAAAGACGGAGATAGGGAGAGGAGCAGAGAGAGAAAGACAGAGAGAGAGAGGGAGAGAGAGAAAGACGGAGATAGGGAGAGGAGCAGAGAGAGAAAGACAGAGAGAGAGAGGGAGAGAGAGAGAGAGAGAGAGAGAGAGAGAGAGAGAGAGAGAGAGAGAGAGAGAGAGAGAGAGAGAGAGAGAGAGAGAGAGAGAGAGAGAGAGAGAGAGAGAAAGACGGAGATAGGGAGAGGAGCAGAGAGAGAAAGACAGAGAAGAGAGGGAGAGAGAGAAAGACGGAGATAGGGAGAGGAGCAGAGAGAGAAAGACAGAGAGAGAGAGGGAGAGAGAGAGGAGAGAGGAGAGAGAGAGAGAGAGAGAGAGAGTTAGTGAGAGGGAGAGAGAGAGAGGGGGGGGGGGGGGGCAAAGGGAGAGGGTAGGAGGAAGGGGGAGGAAGAAGGAGACGGAGAGGGAGAGAGACAGAAAGGCAGAGATAGGGCGAGGGACAGAGAGAGAGAGTGAGAGAGGGGTGAGGGGATTCAGTCACCCATCCGTGGGATTCATTTCCTCTTGTTCCTTCTTCTTTAAGCCTCGCAGGTCGCACCAAACAATTAAAATAGAAGCTCTATAGGCGCCTTCGCTGTGAAGTAGCATGTCTAACGAATACACAAGGGCTTATCTCCCGACCTCTGAACTGGAAGCAGAGGGATGCTCAGAAGACTTTCTTCCCTGGACATTAACTATTTCAGTCCAGCAGAGTGAGGTGCTGCCGCGAGCTGTTTTTTTTCTCTCTCTCTCTCTCTCATCT